CATCCCTCATCTAGCCCCATGCCTAGCTAACCTCTGCGGGGAAAACCCAAAGCAGCTGTCTGCTACACAGCTGATGCAGTGACGCTCTCCCCGCTTCCCTTTAAGCCCCTCCCCCACACCAGTATATATATACACACGCAAACTTTTGCCAACATGATTCTGATTTTTTTTCCATTTAAATTTTTAAAAGACGACGGCTACAACTACACCGGCATGATCTTGCACAAGAACTCTTGCAGAAGAATTCTTTTGCAAAAACTCTTCCAGAAGAGAGCATCTACAGTGGCATGTGCTTTTGCACAAGAGATGTGCTTTTGCACAAGAGCATCTGTGCCAGTGTAGATGCTCTCTTGTGCAAGAAAGCTCTGATGGCCATTTTAACCATAGGGCTTTCTTTCGCAAGAAATTCATGTTGCCTGTCTACACTGGCCTCTTGCGCAAGAACAGTTGCGCAATAGGGCTTCTTCCTGAGTGGGAACGTCAGAGTTTTTGCACAAGAAGCACTGATTTCATACATTAGAACGTCAGTGTACTTGCACAAGAACTCGCGGCCGGTGTAGACAGGCAGCAAGTTTTTGCGCAAAAGCAATTGCTTTTGCGCAAGATCGCACCAATATAGACACAGCCAACATGTTTTAGAAAATGTAATCCTGGTAAGGTATGAACTGCAGAGCAGAATCTGGCATGAAGCACATAAAGTCCCTCCAAAACTAGAAACTGACTGTGTATTTGTGCATCCCATCTTCACACGTGTTTAGAACCCTGAGTCAAAAATGGCCAATTTGCTAAGGTTATTCCAAGCCATTTAGTCCAAAACCCAGTTATTCAGTGCATAGCCCATGCCCTGCAAGTTTTAGCTAGTTTAAACAGATTCTTTCTTACCCAAAGATAAATATAGATGTACCTGTAGAAAGTCTACACCCTAAGAAAGTTTATTTATGCTTGATGAATAAATGGTTGTTTTAACAATCACATAACTACATAATGACTTTCAAGGAAAATATGTTTTCCTGAGGAGAAAAAAAAACCCAGGTGAGATGTCATCCAACAAAAACATTAATCAGATCCTGTTACACTTTTGCCATCTGTGTTTTCTATATTATTGTTTCACTAAATACTGGCAGAGGTCTGATTACAATTTTAGAGAACACTAGTGGGCTGTGACATGTGCTTCCTATGCTCGACTACACCCTTCCCCCTCTCCCAGCAGCTTTTGCAGCCAGAGAGCGTGCAGAACATGATGATGTCATTCTGTCACCCAGCAGGAAAAACTTTTTTATATATATAGAGAGAGACTGAGTTCTTCATATTTTTCATTCAGCCATATCCAGGGAGTCAATGCTTCTTTAATTTTCAAAGGTGATTTACAGAGGAAACAAAGTGATTTTTCATCCTTTATTGTTATCTACAAGGTGTAAAGAAGGACTGAAAGATATTTGATGATAGGATTCATCCATATTCATCAGAAATTGCTTCCTCCATACCAGAACATGAGGAAAAGTGTGTTTAATTTCATTGTGGACAAATGAAATTTGGATAAAAATCCTCACTTACCGAAGACAATGGAAGTTGCGCCATTGATGTCAATGGAGCCAGAATTCCACACATTGTTTGTAGGTCCTTACCTCTGTAATTGTGACCAAACCATTAAAATAAGGAGGGAAAGGGGAAACAAAAAATCAGATTGCACCCCTGTAATATTCACAAAAGTGAGCAAAACTGCAGTCCTTGGGCTACCCTGAACCTAAGGACTGCACAGATATCTTGAAAGGCATTCAGCAATTTTTCAGGGGAGTGATCCTATTCAGTCCCACCCCTTTTGATAGTCTCAGTACTGTTCTGGGGGCACATTTTGTACTCTGAAACAAAGTGAAGTTATTCTTCTGCAGCTCAGTGCACAATACTTCCCAGAGGCCACCACTGGGACATGACAAAGGCATATAAAATAATGAATAGTACAGAGAAGTTAGTATGGGTGTTCCTACATACAGTCTTATAACGCAAGAGCAAAGGGACATTCAGTGATGTTTTTTAAAGGTAATACATTTTAAACTTCTAAAAGGAAATTATTTTTATACAAATTAAACTGTGGAAGAATTTATTGAGGTTGCACAAATGTCTATATAGCTAAATATCCTCACAGTTACATCAGATAGGTTAAAATATACAAGGGATATAAACCTTCATAGTTTAGGATGCTGTCTTGGAAAATCAGGCTCCTCTTACATTGCTCATGGATCCTGAGTTCTAATTCTACTAGTACAAGACAACTATAATTAATGCTATCATCTATGACCTAGCTTTGAAAGTCTGGAAAATCAACTACAGAAAGGAAATTAGTCCTGCTGTTAGAAGGGCATAATCTAAGACAGGGCTACTCAACACACGGCCCATAGGCCACATGCAGCCCACAGCCCATTTGTTTGCGGCCTGTGGTGCGGTTTGGGTTTATGCAGGGCTCAACATGTAGCCCGCGGGTGGGATCCTTTGAACATGGCTCCACTGGGAACACGCTACACAATGGCAAGTCATATGGGTGGAAATCGGGTAAATATTGCATTTTATTAATATCAGCAAAACTAACTTAAATGGGACCCGTGTGTTGTGTAGTCTTGCCTTAATCTTTGTATTCATGCCCGTCAATGTAAAATAAGCTATTTGCATATATTTGCATATACATTTGTATGTATATGCAACCACACTAAAGTTGTGGCCCTTGGCATGTGCTGTAAGAATCATTGTGGCCCTCAGGGCTTCCAAAGTTGAGTAGCCCTGATCTAAGATTTGAACTCTGCAAAACAGGAGAATGTAATTGGCATGGCTCAGAAAAGCTTTCCTAGCTGAGAATATTTGAATTGCAATTTGTGAGAAGCTAAGGGAATAAGATGATACACAAGGGAACTTGAGGAGAACATTTCTCTTTCTAAGTTACAATAAAAGCCTAATCTAGTTCTCACTGAAATCAATGGGTATCTTTCTGTTGACTCAAGTGAAAGTTGGATCAGCCCACAGAACAACAACTCAAACAAATCATATACACATATACTGATGTCTGAGAATTATGAATATTCCTTGAGATATTGTACATTAAAACATAAGCACCCAATATAAATTTTCCATAGTATGTTGTCTGAGAGAGGTGAAAAAATTATTAGTACATGATAACAAATCTTCATAGCCAAGTGGTTCTTTGACTTAGTATTTATAGCAGTGTTTAAGTAACTTTGATTCTTTCTGATGCTTTCACTGTTAGGATTCTTTAAATATGAAAAATAAGAAACTTAACAACCCACTGAGAAATTTACTCTCTGCAGTACTTGGTCTGTTGTCCGGTTAATTCTGAAATGTTGTTGGAAAATGAGGCATTATTTGTTCATTCAAATGCAAAATATCAAAGATTTTTTGATCAATTGAAAATAATCCCACACAGAGGGCCTTGAGCTGTATTGTTTGTACACCTCAAATTGCTATTAAATAGGGTGACCAGGTACCTCATTTTTAAAGGGACTGTGCCATATTTAAGCCCTCCAGCAAGGGTCCTGGATTTTTCTTAAAAACTGGCAAAAAGTCCTGTATTTTCTCTCTCCCCCTATGAGAACTAGCAAGCCCTGCAGTTAGTCAGATCCCGGCTCACCAGCAGTAACTGGAGGAGTCCAAAGGCTGATGATGGAGGTAGATGTGCAAGACTGATGACAGGGCAAAGTCACAGCACATGGTGCTGGTCACTATCCCTGTTGATCCATCAGTGCAGCCTGTGTTGCACTCCAGCTCTAAACCAGCAGAGCTCCTGCCAATTTCTGGCTGGCATTAGCTGCAACCTGTGGTAGCTGTTGAGTGCAGATAAGTGCTGGGCAGCAGCCAGCTACATGTCATCTCTGCCGCCCACCTACTGACCTTTTACTTGTTCCCCCTCTTCCTGTCCTCTCTCTGTTTTGCCCCTTAGCTGCCTGCCCAGTCCTGCTGCTCCTCCACATTCCCCCCCCCCCCCCCCCCAACGGCAGGGGTGTATCTTGCTCCCAAAGCTGTGGGGAGAACCAACCACTGGTTGGAGTGCACATCTCACTGAGCCTTGCTGGCAGACTCCTTCCTTTCCCAGCTGCTCTATCTGAGCCAATACTTCAGGAAAGCCTAGACTGTCCAGCCTGGAATGCTAGCCAGGAGCCAGGCCCTGCATGTGCCAAAATCCCACACAGCACTAGCAAAAAGAAGCCTCTTCACCCATCAGCTAAGCTCTAGAGTGGGCAGGGAAGTGATTCCCAGACTGTTTATGCCATGCAGACGATAGGCACCAACTCCATCGGTGCTCTGGAGCTAGTACTTAGCACCTGCCAGCAGCCAAGCTCCCTACTCCCAAGCTCACCCACCAGCAGCCATGCTGACTAAATCATGCCCCTCCCTCCTACCTGCCACAGAATACCTCTTTTGCAGCTTTCAGGATCATCTAAGGTGGGAGAGAGAGGAGTAGGGATGCAGCACACACAGGGGAGTAAGTGGGGGAAAAGGCAGGAGTTTGGGGAAAAGTGGTGAATGGGGTGGGGCTGAGCAGAGGCAGGAAAGGCAGGAGAGAGGTGGAGTGGAGGTCGGTCCTGGGGCAGAGGTGGGGTCATGCACCCCAGCTAGAAAAGAAATCAGTGCCCCAGGAAGGGGTTTAGCACCATCTTCACATGTCTTCCATTGCCCTGGATCCTGTCCCCAAGGATTGCAGAGCTGCTTCATCCCCTAGGCACCCACCCCGGCTGAGCCACCTCTCTAGCTGAGTTCACTGAAGCCCCGGAAGCCAGGTTCTCTGGGCTGTAGAGCATAATGCATCCTTAGGGATTAACCCCTTCCTGTCCAGGCTTTATCCAGGGAAGAGGAGAAGGGCGGGTTATGTCTGTGGCCAGCAGCAGCCTGGAGATGTTAGCTGCCTTTCAACACTGTGGATAGGAAGAGACAAGCTGCTTCCAGCCACAGGG